GCTTCACATATTCCTAACTGCCATTCCTCTGTACTCAGCTTCTGCACTAGATCTTGCAACAACATTTTGTTTCTTGCTCCTCCATGTAACTAAGTTTCCACCTACAAAGGTAAAGTATCCTGAAGTTGATTGCCTATCGTCAACTGCTTCGGCCCCGTCAACATCTGTATATACCTCGATATTTTGCTTGTTTGTATGTTTAGAGAATAGAATTCCCTTTCCTGGAGCAAATTTTAGATATCTCAAAATGCACATGACTGCATTCATATGTTGTTCACCAGGATTATGCATGAACTGACTAACGATACTCAAAGCATAGGCGAGATCTGGTCTTGTGTGAGCTTAGTACATTAGTCTTCCAACGAGTCTCTGGTATCTCTCCCTGTCCACGGGTATTTGGCTTGTCTCAATACATAACTTCAGACCCTCTTCCATTGGAGTGTCAGCTGGTTGGCAGGCTGACATACTAGTTTCATGAAGTAGATATAAGGCATACTTTCTTTGAGATAGGAAGATTCCTTTACTCGATCGAGATACTTCAATTACCAAAAAGTATTTTAAGGGGCCTAAGTTTTTCATTTCAAATTCCTTGGACAAGTACTCCTTCAAAGCTTTCATTTCTTCTAAGTCGTTGCCTGTGACGATCATGTCATCCACATATACAATGAGTGCATTAATCTTCCCATGTCGCTTCTTTAAAAATGATGTGTGATCTGAATTGCTTTGTTTATAACCGAAGGTTGTCATAGATTTGGTGAATCGTCCAAACCATGCTCTAGGGGATTGTTTTAATCCATATAGTGATTTCTTCAACTTGCACACCTTCTGTTTTTGTCTTTCTGTTACCATGCACCCTGGATGGAGATCCATGTAGACTTCTTCAGAGAGTTCACCATGTAGGAATGCATTCTTCACATCAAATTGTTGTAATGGCCAATCAAAATTTGCAGCTAAGGATAACAAGACCCGGACTGTATTGATTTTGGCTACAGGAGCAAATGTCTCAGTGTAGTCAATTCCATAAGTTTGAGTGTATCCTTTTGCCACCAATCTCGCCTTAAAACGTTCGATCGTACCATCAGCTTTGTATTTCACAGTAAAGATCCATCGACACCCAACTGGCTTTTTTCCTATAGGTCGAGCAATGAGCTCCCAAGTTTGGTTCTTCTGCAAGGAGGCCATCTCTTCATTCATCCCAGCTTTCCATCTTGGATCAGTTAAGGCTTCCTGCACACTGTTAGGTATAGATACAGTAGACAATTGATTGACAAATGACTGATTTGTTTGTGACAAGCGATGTGTAGACATATAGTGGTTCATGGGATATCTTACTTTACTAGACAACTGAGGTTCATATGTAAGTTTTGGAATACCTCTGGTGAGACGTTGAGGTAACTGTCTCCTAGATGACTCAGGTACTCTATAAGGAATATCCTCAGACAACGATTAGTTTGGTGTATCAATTGGGATAGGCTCAGACTCGATTTCAGATGTTTCCTGGCTTTCTGGGTGCTCATTTTCACTTTGATCCAAGGTTTGACCACTAGGCTCCAACTCATCTACTTCTCCGCTTATTATGTCGTTGTGTAGGGTATCGCCATTTAAATCCAAGATTTGACCACTAGGATCCAAATTACCTACATTTTGATCAGATACTTCCACAACATCTTCCTCAAGGTGGTATATAAGAGTCTGAATTTCCTCAAGATTCTCCCCCTGAAAGTCATACTTGGAGAAATACATAGTATCTTCATGAAAGGCAACATCCATGGTGATAAACATGCGTGTAGTAGGAGGATGATAGCACCTGTATCCTTTTTGATGAATAGCATAGCCAACAAAGACACATTTCAAGGCTCGAGGCATAAACTTATTTCGTTGGTGTTAGGGGAGATGAACATAGGCCACACATCTGAAGACATGAGGGGGAGGTTTGGGACTATTGGAGCAACAACAGTTTCTGTAAGTGTCTGGAAAGGTGTCTTGAAGTTGATAGAACGAGATGGAACATGATTGATGAGATATACTGCAGAGAGAAGAGCTTCGCCCCGCAACATAAGGGCATGTGGGCATCAATGAGGGAAGCACGAACAACCTCCAATAAGTGTCTATTTTTGCGTTCGGCCACACCATTCTGTTGAGGTGTATTTGTACAGCTGGTTTGATGGATTGAGCCATGAGATTCCATAAATTGCTGAAGTTCAAAACTATGGTATTCCCCACCATTATCACTACGCAACACTTGTGTTCGGGCATTGTACTGTGTACGAATGGTATTATAAAATTTTTGAAACAGCAAGTTAACTTCTGATTTGGATTTCATCAAACACAACCAAGTCATTTGAGTACAATCATCTATAAAGGTAACAAACCAATGTGACCCTCCCAACGTAGGAACTTTGGATGGTCCCCAAACATCAGAGTGAATAACCATAAAAGGAACAGGACTTTTATTTAAAATCAAAGGAAATGAGGCACGATGGCTTTTTGCAAGTTCACACACATCACATTTGAAAATAGAAATGTCTAAATTCATAAATAAACTAGGAAACAACTTTCTTAAATAACCAAATGAGGCATGTCCCAAACGTCAATGCCAGAGCAAGATGTCAGCTATCTTCTTCGGTAAACCATTGTTCTCTACTGCTAAAGCCTGTTGTAATCTGTTGGAAGTGTCTGACTCCAAGTCCAAGTAATATAGCTTCCCTCTCTTAACACCATAACCAATCATTTGCCGAGTCTGAATGTCGTTAAACACACAATGATCAGACCAAAAAATAACAACACAAGATAAAGTAGTAGTGATCTGAGAGACTGACAAAAGGTTATAATCTAAAGAGGGAACAACTAACACAGAATCAAGATGTAAAGTATTAGTAAGATGTGATGACCCTTCCCCAACAACCGGGGTGGTATTACCATTGGCCGTGGAGACACAATTTTGAGAGGATGGGTTAAGATTTGTGACTTGTCTAACATCAAATGTCAAATGATCAGTAGCACCAGAATCAATTATCCATGCACTATGCAAAACAGGTGTAGAAGTGGTGAAGGCCTTACCTCCAGTGTTAGTAGTGGTTAGCAATGCTGATGACGTAGGAGAGACATCGTCTTCCTTTGTTTGAGCAACTGCAGTAGTAGAAGGCCTCTTGGAATTTCGACGTCGGGTTGGGTCCCACCAATCTGGATATCTAATAAGTTCGAAGCAACGACCTTTTGAATGACCCGTTTGATTGCAGCGAGTGCATTTGTATGTAAATTTGTTTGAACTGTTGGAATTCTTCAAATTGGTGGCTTTGGGCCGGTCTTGGGACGGCTGGCTAGGTCGATGGTGGGAAATCATAGCAGAAGCTTCATGTTTCTCAATGTCCTCATTCAAAGTAGTAGATCGTATGGCCTCACGACGAACTAAGGAATAACACTCTTCCAGACTTAGGAGTGGCTCACTACGTAATATTTCTCGCCGAACTTGATTAAAACATTTATCTAATCCAGCAAGAAATATGTGTACTCGGGTTTGCTCAATGGACTGCCGGTATGCTGTGACATTATCAGGATCTTTCATAACCACTTTATCACGATGATCAAGTTCCTGAAATATTTTTATTAACTCCCCATAGTACACTGAGACTGATTTGGCACCTTGTTTGGCTGAGAAGGCTTTCTGATCCAAAGAGTAGACATGCATCTCATCATTACCATCATAAAAGGCTTTGGATAGAGCACTCCAGATTTCACGGGCAGTGGGTATACGAAGATAGCGTTTCATGATGTCAGGAGTCATGGACATTAGAAGCCAGCATTTCACCTTCTGATTTTCAGCGTACCATTTTTCATACCCCTTATCCGACACAGCAGGTGGAGCAGATTAGCCCATGATGTAGGAAAGTTTTTCTCGTTCAGCAATATGCATCTCCATCAATTAAGACCATACATCATAATTTGTTTCTGTAAGTTGAATGCCTGCATTAAAGGCACCCTCAGACTGAACAAGAATTGGAACGGATTTGGTTCCAGACGATTCAATACTTTCACTCATTCTTTTCTAACAAATAGATTTAATGGGCTGAATAAATCAAAAGAACAACTACCACACGGAAACAACAGGTAAGGAGAATATGAAGTCAACTAATTGTAGTGGTGGACGGCGACGGCGGGGACTGCTGGAGCGGGTGATAGTTTCTGGTTTGGTTTTCTCAGTCGCGTTTGATGGATTTGCAGTAATCTGGTTGGGATGATGATGGGCAAGCAACAGGTAAGTTCGAGTTGCTCCTTTTGGGTGGTATTTGTTTGAAGTCTGGTTTTGATTTCTGATTATGGGGGGGTTTTTTTTTTGTGGGTTTGTGAGTTAGAATTTAGGAATGAGTGTCTGGGTTTTGATTGCAGAGTTTTTCAGAACCTTGTTCGGCTCTGATACCATCAAAGCATATGAAATCACATATGATAGACTGGTGTTTCTCTCATTCATTATTGGCTGATGAAAAACAGATTATAAATAGGGTTCGAATCCCCCAATTAATCCCCATAAATCTGCCTATACAATCTCTATGATTTTTACACACCTATACAATCTTCTCTATAAGGAAAGAACATCAATTTGGTATCTTTATAAAATCGTTTACAATCTCAACACAAACGTGTGCACGATCAGTGTCAATTATACATTGAACGTGTCTATGTAATCTGAGTTCAATATGTCGTTTTCTTCTGCTCATTGTTAAATTTCTTGTCAATATCTGATAATAATGAATACTTTTCATAACACTTAGCACAAGATTTTCCATTTAATGACCCATCTTAGATAGCACACAAACAAATATCTTCTTTTATTATTTCTAAATTTTATTATAAATAAGAATTTATGAATAATCATGATAGCATGGTTTTGCCTTTAATGCATTTTTCGCCTATGAACTCTGAACTCTATATATAGAGATCGACATTTTAAAGGGAAGGCGTCATTTGTTTACATTGCAAGATCCCTCAATATTTCCTATGCAATGGCTTCTCTTGGACAAAATTGGTTTCTGGTTTTTCTGTTTACTTTTGCAGCATTGTCATACCGGGCGACTTCGCGATTATCTTCTAATGAAGAAAAGTCGATAAAGCACGAGCAATGGACGGCTCAACTTAAACTCACTTACAAGAGCAACAAAGTGAAGTTGAAGAGATTTAAGGTATTCAAAGATAACGTAGCTTTCATAGAAAGGTTCAACAAAGCTGGTAAGAACAAATACAAGCTCGGAATCAACGAATTTCCAGACTTGACCAATGAAGAATTGCGAAGTATACGGAACTAAAATACCATCCTCAAGAGATCATCAACAATCCCATTCACCTATGGCAATATGAAAGATGTAGCACCTAGCCTTGAATGGAGAGGCAGAGGAGCAATTACCGCGATCGAGAACCAAGGAGGATGTGGTTAGCCATCTAAGCCAAATCATATATATGGGCATGTTTGGTCATGAAACTCGACAAGACTAGAAAAGTGGTGTCAAATGTGTCATGCCATGCTCAAGGGCGTAGCCAGTACCCGATGAGCCCCTGTGGCTGCCCGTGCTAGCTTCATCGAAAAGTCTTTTCCCATATATTATACGGCTGTCCATGCTCACCTAAATTCCTAGATCCGTCACTGGCCATGATGTATGCCAACTTGCATTAAGAGCATGTGACTCGTGGGCTGGTCAAGACAGGTCTATATTTAAATAAAAAGAAAAAAAACTATGTTAAAATGCATAAAAGAACATGTAGATTGAGCCCTGCAGATGGGTCAAGTTATGCCCAAATACGGTAGATAATATTAATTATTATCGAATCACCTTACCAAAGATGCTTATGTGTTTACTATATGCTTCAACTGTCATGTTTTCTTCAATTATTCACTAGTTAAACATATTTATAATAAGCATATACAATATACAGGAGCTTGCTAGGCTTTTTCAGCAGTGGCTACTATGGAAGGCATTACTTAAATCAAAACAAGAAAATTAGTTTCATTATCTGAGCTACAATTACTAGACTGCATGACTACTACAGACAGTTGCAAAGGTGGCTGGATGGAGCATGCCTTTGAATTTACACGGATTATCCATACCAGGCCAATGAAGGAACTTGTAGCACCGACAAGCCATCCTCCCTTCCAACAATGATAACTGGCCATCAAAGTGTACCTATGAATAATGAGACATCACTGCTAATGGATGTGGCTAATCAACCTGTAAGTGTTAGAATTGACCCGAGTCAAATGCAGTCCTACAAGAGTGGGATTTTAACAGGCGATTGTGGAACCAATCTAACTCACGCCATCACAGCAGTTGGATATGGTACAAGTGAAGAGGGTACTAAGTATTGGATATTCATGAATTCTTGGGTTCCAAACTGGGGAGAAAATGGGTTCATCAGGATTCAGAGAGATATTACTGCCGAAGAAGGAATGTGTGGCATTGCTATCTATCCTACGTTTCCCACAGCTTAAGATTTTAGATGAGACATTATATAGGTATTTAAAATTTCATTAGCCGATTCAATTATACTTTATTCTGTTTGGCTACATGCAACTCCTTGGAGGTAAGACATTATGCCCCCCGTGTATCCAATATTAATTAGGGACATGACCTTATAACTACTTCGACTAATACAAAACAAGAAAATAAATAAATAAAATAGAAAAAAAATTCTAAATACGAAAGTAGGCTCGTAACATTTCTACTCTCTTGCTAATACCCTTGTCCTTAAAGGTTCATCTTCTCTGTTTCAAAGCTTTGTTGTGGAACCAAAGAGGGTCTTCTAGTTTTGAAAAAACTAATGCAATTTTATATATTATTTTGAACCTAAATTGAATTTGCTAGATAAATTCAAGCTTCGAACTTGGAAGATTGCGAATTACTTTAATTTGTAGCATTTTTCTGTATTTGTAACATTAGTAATTTTTTTTTATTCTTTGAAAATCCTCTGGCCGTCAAAATGACCATGTTGAATTTTTTTTCATAATACTTAAACTTTATAAATTTTACATGATTGCCAAGATCTTAGTATCAAATCAGCAAGAAACTTAATTAACACGGAACATACATTGATACATTGATTTGTATATTGAATAGTGAATCTTAAATCTTGATCCTTAAATCTTGATTTATTGTTCTTTAATTTAATTGTTCCATACGTTTTTTTTTATTCTTCATTGTGAGTTTGTGGATTTTCCTCATCAATATGCTTTTTTTTTGTATTCTTGTATCGATGAGATGATACAAAAAATGAAAAATTCACATATAAATTGGGGACCATAACCCTATGTATATATTCCATATGTATTCGGCCCATTGTCAAATACAAACCCTAATAGATCTGGTCTCTATACATATAATCCGGCCCACACTTTATTTAGATACCCAAAATCCAATTATTCAATTCTTTATTAGATCACTTTAATTTTGAGCTTAACTCTAAGATAGTCTTTATACACAATTAATTACATATGTCGGTCAACATGACAAATTAAATAAGAGAACAATACATAAATAAGAGTTTTAATTTACCAATTTCAAATTTAAGAACTTAAGTTTAAAATTCAAATTTCAGATTTTTAAAATTTTATTTATAAATAAATAAATTAAACATATATTTTATTAATTAAATATATGAAGGTCACAATTCCATATAATTTGGTCACAAATTCTATATAAGTGGTCACATATTATTAATTTATCACAAATTACAAATCTTACATGTCAAAAATTATTTTATGGTCACGGTTCAAAAATTTTATAGGTCACAATTTGTTAATCGATCACAAATAAAAAATTAAAACGTTACAAATTATTTTGTGATTACAACTCAAAAATTTTATAAGTCACAAATTATTTTACGGTCACAAATCAGAAATTTTATAAGTCACAATTCAAAAATTTTATAAGTCACAATTTGTTTATCGGTCACAAATAAAAAAAATTATACGTCACAACTTATTCATCAATCACAAATCACAAATATTATAAGTCACAACTTAGTAGACAGTAACAAATTGTCAAATTATCGATCACAAATTAACAATTTTTTAGGTCAAACATTATTTATTGGTCATAATTAATATTTTTCATTGGTCACATGTTGTTTATCAGTCAAAATTAATGAATTTAATGGTCACAAACGACCAAATAATCTGTGACCACAACCACCACTTGTGACCACCACCTCACCATTCCTATCAGCACCACCACGTTGAATTTACTTCATTGGTCACAGATCAAAAAAATCATAGATCACAGTTCATGGATAAGTCATATATTTTCAAATTTCTTGGTCACAAATTATCGAATTTTAAGGTCACCGATTAATAATGAGTCACAATGAACCAAATAGTAGGTCACATACACCGAACACCCCACCTCGTCCCGATCCTCTACCAATACTTGGTCACAAATCAACCAAATAATTGGTCACAACTGGTCACAGATGACTAGATAATTACTCGCATACACCAAAATAGTGTTCACATAACACAGCCACAAACACTACCACTACTAGCACATGCGACCACCCTCACGCTGTCACAACCGCAAGAGCACCACCACCCCAAACACCACAACAACACTACAAACAGAAACGCATCCCCACCACCACAAACAGACGCACCACTATTTTGCAACCCCCAACAACTACCTGCACCACTAAACAACCCGCACTCAACCACCGTACATCACGACCGCACCCAAACCAACCACTGCGCACAGCACCATGCCCAACCACAATCGCACTCACCACCGCGATCTACGCTACTGCAATTGTCATCTGGCCACTAGAGATCCACCACCACGCTCACAACATATCACCACCACCTCAGAGCACCCCTACACGACTCACATCAGCGATGTTATTGCACAGAGATAGCAACAGCTAGTCCGTGCGGTAGCGGCTCGCGAAAATCCGCCCAGTAGCGACGATCTAGAGCTGAGCATGACGGCATCGCGGGTGAGAAGCCGAAGAGAATAGAGTGTGAGAAGACAGAGAGACGAGAAAAGGAAGAAGAAAATTCTAGGGTTTGCATCCGTGAGGCAGCTGTGATCTGTCGCTGCATACGACGGCGTCGCGGGAGAGAAGAGAAAGAAGACGGAGAGAGAAACGAGAGGTTGAGAAGACAGAGAGTGAGAGTGAGAAGACGGAGAGGGAAGAGAGTAAGAAAAGGGTGGAAATTCTAGGGTTTGCTTGTTTGGCATGAAATTGATTAGGTTTGGGATGAAAATTGTATATTTAATATTTAAAATAAAATGTCTGATTTTTGAAAAGTGCCCTTCAGAACTACCTTGGAAAGCGCAGTCGTGAACCAATGCCCAAAAGTGGAACTGCCAAAAACCTTTAATTTGATTTTTGAAATTGAATTTTTAAAAATCTGGTTTTGTGTAATTTCCCATTAAATAATTTCCCAACACACCATTGACTGGAAACTGTTCACACACTTTTAAGAAATGGCTTAAAAAAATTAAATTGGGAGAATTGCTTACTGGCTAACCTGATGAATAAAATAGTACTAGGCAATTGATTGTTGATCCTACAAATTAGATAATCTCCATTACCCAAATGACAAAGTCGAGCTCACGCTTTCTACTTGGACTTGATGGGTATGTTACTTCTCGCATTAAAGTGGAATTTCATGTGTCACATCAAGTCGAAACTTTTCTGGTTCGTAGTTCGGAGATCATCTTGAGTTCAATATTTATAACTTGTTTGGGAAGGATTAAAATCCAATTAAAATTGAAAATATAGTCGTTATTGGATCCCACTCGTCTAATAAAAGTCAACTCCAACAGCTATATTTTCAATTTTAATCTGATTTTAATCCCTCCCAAACAAGCTATTAAATACTTATAATTAGTAAATTAATATGAACTTACAATGTCTGCCACACAGTATTCACATCTCGATCTTTATAGTACTTTACAGCCAAAATGGTAGTATTCCTGAGGTTGAGTTTAATTTGTTACAGATTAGTAAGCTGTAGAAGACCTGAAAATAATTTTCCGTTGCTGATTTTGGCACTGCACATTCACAATCGAGCCTTGTCTCTCAGTTCTTGAAATGCTCTCATTGTTTCCATATCAAAACCACCCGCGAACTGGAGACCAAAAAAAAGGTCCACACGAGAAGCAGAAAAGGAAGCTGACTATACATTTATCGGGACCAACCCTTAGTTTATTGTTGTAGAAAGCGAAATAAAATAAGTAGCTGACTATACATTTATCGAGAACAAACCTTAGTTTATTGTTGTAGAAAGCGAAATAAATGCGCAATTTTGGTATATATGCAGATATAAACTTTACCTGATGTACTCGGAATGCAAACTTGACGCCTTGAATTATAAGCTCTTCTTCTTCAGGAAAACCACCAACAAATTCGAGCTCTGCAGACACTCTCTTCATATACTTCATGGCCAATTTCACAGATGCCAGCTTGATCTGCAATAGAAGCCTCAATTACTACAGCAAACTCCTTTTGTTATATACCCCAATCATCACAGCAAACACATACAATATCAGACCAAAAGAATGCCAAAAAAAGCTCAACATCATGGCAGATGTACAAATTCAATGTCAATCACAGATGCCAGCTTAATCTGCAATAGAAGCCTCAATTACTACTGCAAATACATACAATTTCAGACCAAAAAAATGAAGAAAAAAGCTCAACATCATGGCAGATGTACAAATTCAATGTCACTTTCATACTTGTTTCCCTTTTGGGATCGTTAAAAGAACGCCCCAACAATGAATATTATTAGAAAGATACACTTAATACACATTACGCACGCTATTCTTGATTATTCGTCTCCACCAATCTAATTATGAATTGTGTTAGACGTATGCATTTACCTGACTTACATATCCGGTATCAAGCATCCAATCGATTGGAATTTGTAACACTTTGTATCCCTTCGCAGCAGACTCTCTAATTCTACACAAATTATAAACTCCATGCTCCAATCTGTATCAAATAAAGCAAGCATTAGGCTTCGTTCAAAAACTAGCATAAATAACAGTCGAGAATTCATATCGCACTTCTCAAACAACGCCTGCATTTTCTTAAAAGCTTGACCACAAGGCTGTCTAGGATCATCACGAAATGATGAAGCTTCGAATTCCAGTTTCTTCAGATCACTGTACTCAAATGCAGCTTCTCTTAATGCATCTGCCTTCCGCTCAGGCCAATTGAAATGTTTCAACACTGCCCTTTCATCAACCTAGTTACATAAAATTAAATTCCTTAAACTATTGACAAGACGTGCATGTCACATACGCTGGTTAGACTAGACTGCACATGATTAAGAACGATGGTGTGCATATCAAACATAGAAATTATCTAAACTATGCTAGAAATGTACCAGGTAGGAGAGCTCGTCATCAAGCCATTTTACAAAAGGTACAACATCTTCAATGTCAGTGAATGCAGCCCCTTCAACTTCTTTGATTAAGAACCTAATGAAATCTCCTTGCGATTCTACGTCTGTCTTAATCTGCAATTAAAGTATTTAGAAACAGATTATCGACTTTGATAGAATTTCTCAACATTTCTTCATATTGTCACGGTAAAATGGAAAGTATCGAAAATATGACGTTAACCTTTGAAGATGGAACAAAAACTTGCCACATAAACATATGAAATGTCATAAATACCGTCATGGTTCGTTGAACGACCTTTTTGCATTACCAATTTGGATTCCGAATCTGAGTCATGTCTTATGTTGCGAGTAAACATAACAAAATTCTAAATAAAAACTGAAAAAGTGTAGAATTAAGCTAGTACTACACCCATGGTGTACGACTCGTTGGCAACCTTTGAGGTGTCAAAATCGAGATCACTTATTTAAGTATTGTTCAATTAAAACTGGGTCATGCCAAAGAGTGTAAACAAAACTGTTAACTAAGTGTAATCATAAAAGACACTAGGACGGTCAATCCAAGCGGCTGTGGTATGAAGTGGCAAAAAACTCAAAATCAATCACGAAAAAATAAACAAAAAACTTACGGCTAATAAATGAGCGGAACGATTCTCAATCTCCCCGATCATGTCCTTGGCCGTCGCTCCGGCCGCCGGAGCATCAGCGACTCCGCCACCTACGGCAGTGGTATCCCTCCTTGGATTTGAATCCCTTCGCATTAATGAGTGGTAAAACTCAACAACCTCCGGGATTCTCCTAACCTTGGCTGGCACCGTTTTCGAACCTTTAGGAGGGGGAGGGGGAGGAGGTGGCGCCACCTTAGACTGAGAAGGAGGAGGCGGTGGAGGTGGAGTCACTACTTTCACCGACGGCGGTGGCGGAGGATGAACATTAGAAATCTCCACCAATGCATGATCATCCGAATCGGATAAAGAACCGTTAGAAGCCGAGGATACCACAGATGATGAAGAAGATGAAGATGAAATTGATGACAAAAGCGATGCCGATGGTCTTGGCGGTGGCTTAGGAATTCTTGGGACACGGGATCTGAATCCCATTATTCCATGGGGATTCTCTGCATTTTCTTCAGAATTACACCAAAATTCTTTAGGCCTTTCATTAATCTCCACAGACCCAACTATATCTTCTTTCTTAAAACTAATAATACTTTCAAAACTAGGTACAACGTAATTATGTGTTGCGAATTTTCTCAAATTCTTGTTTGTAGTACTAGGTTTGTAGTTGCTGCTTACATCGACAAGGTTTTGAGTAGACGATGAAACCTCCTCGTGTTCCTGTTGGGTCTCTACAACTGTTTTCTTTATATCAGATAGTTCTGCCTGCATAGCTTTGATTTTTTCTTCATATTTCTGTTTCTGTCTGTATAATTCATTGTGTAAGACCTCAACATCTTCTCTGAGTCTCTCATTTTCTGCTTCTAGGCACTCAATCTTTTTCCTGTACCGCTCGATTTCCGAATCTTTATTTGAGTTCTCGTTTTCAAAAACCGGAACAATGGCGAATGACTCTCTTAGAAGCTTTTGTTCTAAGAGTTCAGTTTTGAAACGGGACTCTCGGTCACGTAGTTCTTCAACGAGGCGGAGGAGCTCGCTGATGTCGGGCGGGCGGGGCTGGACCTTGGCGGAGGCGCGTGGTACGTAACCGCCGGATGAACGTGAGAATACGGCGCCATTTCCCTTCTGGTTTTGCTGCTTCTGTTTCCCGGAATTCAGCATGGACGATGGTGGTGGATTGTGCGATATCTCTGGCTTTTGCTTTTGGTTTACTGAGGATTTTTGAAATCCCATTACCTCTTTTACCTTCCCAGCAACCATTGTTGTCCGTCCCTCTACAAGTTTCTCTCTCTCCCCTCCCTCTCTCTATATATATGCATGTATATGTGTTTACAATGCTATTGGCTAGGAATCTGAGACGAGGAGCTCGAGACCCAGGGAGTGACCATCTGCCTTGAGAGTGAAGGTATTAGCTATACAGCTACATGGGGGCGTGTGGGGTTTGAGAAGGAGGTTTAGGCATAGGAAACCGTATCTTCTTCCGTGCCCGTCCCACCGTTTGACATACATTTTTTTCAAATACATTCTTTCAAAACTCATTTTCAATCACACATTCTTCAATAAAATAATATTTTTTATCGAATCAATAACTTTTTTCATCATATCACTATTTAAAATACATTCTTTTCTCAGTAATATCTATCAAATATCCCCTTAAGAACCATTGAAAAAGAATTTGGGAAAAATAAGAAAAAGAAAAATCAGAAACTGGAAAGGTGGTTGTAACGTTTGGTTAATTATATGAAATAATATTTGGTGGGTTTGTGGAGGTAATTGGTTTGATTTTGAATTGAGATTATGAGCTTAAACTTAATTTGAAATCATTGAATCGTAAATTTTTAGGATTATGATTGATATAGAAATGATATTATGAGATTTATTTGCTTGATAAAACCAAAATAGAAAATTAAAATTTGCCTCTTAAGTCTTAATTATGGAATTCAATGAAGATAGAATCATAATGTTTAAAAACTTGGATTAAAAAATTATTGCCTCACAACATTAAATTTAAAAAAATATATATTGTAGGAGTATTTAACCCATGTTTGGTCCGTCAAACAATCAATATTAGTGTCTGTTTGTCAACCATAATTGAGAAGAAAATGGTGTAATGAATAGTATTTTTTGAAAAATGTGTGGTTGAAATTGAAAGAAACTTTATCGGTTTATGTGTAAAATATTTTATTATTTGAATGTGTGGTAGAGATTGATTACTGTAGAAAACAATTTTTTGAAAAATGGTAGACAAACAGGGGCTTAATCACATCTTTCATGGGTCACACAACTTTTCAACCACACATTTTAAAAACGTTTATTAAAACTAGGTGCAACTTAGTTTATATTTAATATTTTTGTTTAATAATTAATTTATTATTAATAAAGATGTAATTTTTTTTTGGTTAATTAAGGGCGTGTCTGGGTGCGCTGCAAGGAGGAAGGAAAATTGATTAAGTTACCGTTTTTTTTTCAAACCTA